TGAAGGTCTAGTCAGAGACATATTAGAGGCAGAAACAGGAGTTAGGAGGGGTAGAGGTAGACCTAGATTAGATTACTGTTCGCAAATAGTTAAGGATGTGGGTTGTTCTAGTTTTAGGGAAATACGAAGATTAGCTCAGGATAGGAAAGAGTGGAGGTACGTGTCCAACTACTGATGACTTTATGATGATAATGAAGGATGAAATGTTGTTGCTACGTTTGTATTTGAAATCTAAGATGGTGACATTAAAATAAAATTAAAACGTTGTAAGGATGAATTGGGAGTTAAAAGGTTTTATTGAGAAACAATATTAATTTCTGCGAGCGAAGCCGCGGGGAAAAGCTAGTTTTATTAAAGATAAGTGGGTGCGGGCTCATGACCGACTGTGACCTCTTACACAAGCCGCCACTAGTATAGTACTGAGATTAGCAACGACAATACGACAATTATAAGACTATCTCTTGGGATTTGGTTCTGATTAGACCTTTTTTAATTTGACTAGAATTATTATAAAGACATCCAACAACAGGTATGTGCAATAAAGCCTGGTCTTCCGAGTATTCGTCTTCATTTTCTGCACACTTATCACAAGCACAACTACTGCGTTCAGTCATTTCACTCAGTTTGCCCAAAGAACAGTAGGACAGTATCGACGAGTCGCTGCTTTTGTTACTGATCGAGCCCTCGTCCATTGAGGAGAGTAACGGTTTCGCCGTACTCGTTTTGATTTCAATGTTCATGGAATTTTCCTTGCTCTTACATTTGAGTTGGTTCCATTTTCTTTCGAGCAACGTGCCGGATGACGCGTATCTTCTGCTGGCAGCCTCTTTTGCTGGAGAATTCGGATTTGATAAGGCGCTATCGCTGTCTTCTGAGTATGCCCTCGTAATTGTTATTTTGGGGGACCTGAATTGCAAGAAATCGAAGTAGAATGGAGCTTGATGGACAGACATCTAAATGAAAGCTTTAGAATGAAAGGAAGACAGTTCTTTTGGGAAAAGAAGATGGATAATGGGTGGTGGAATAAATTGGAAGAGATGAGAAGAGGAATAATGGAAAAGAAAGGAAAGGTTGAAGGTTGAAGAAAGGTGGAAATAAAATAAGCATTAAACGTTGACGAGGGAGAATGTGGAAAAGAACTGAAGTGGAGGCAGAATATTGGAGGAAATAAATGAAGAATAAAATAAAATACTACTGTGGGAGGAAGTGGAAATGGGGAAATTGTAAGATAAAAGAGGGAGAAATTTGAAAAGAAAGGAAGGGCAAACAAAAGAAGAATAAAATTCTGACATGGAAAAATAAGGAATTGGGAGAATTGGAAAAGAAAAAGGGGGAAATGGAGAAGAATAGAAGCAACGAAAGAAGAAAGGGGGAAAGAAAGTAAGGATTAAATACTGACGTGGGAGGATTTGGAAATGAAAAGAAGACAGAAGAAAGGATGAAATGAATGAAAAATAAAATTATGAAATCGAAAGAAGTTGAACTGAGAAAAATGAAAGAGAAAATAAGGGGAAAAAAGGAAGAAAGGATATAAGTATAAAACGCTGACGTGGGAGGATATCGAATTCTGGAGAATTTAAGAGAAAAGATGGTAAATATGGAAGAAAGAGGAAAGAAAACAAGAAGTAAACTCTGACGTGCGAGAATATGAAAAAAAAGGAAATTAACGACGAATAAAACGCTGAGGTGGAAAGTAATCGAAATGGGGGAAATGTAAGAAAAAAGGATGGGAAAATGGATAAGAAGGAAGGAAGAAGGAAAAAGGGGAATGAAAAGAAGAATAAAAGAAGAAAAGAAGAATAAGATGCTGACGTTGGAGGAAGTGGAATAGGAACTAACAGAAAAGTAGTTGGGACTAAGGAAGGCGGAAACTTAGGAATAAAGGAAGGAAGGATAGAAGGAGATGAAAATGAAAAATGTTTTTAATTTAGATACTTACCTTTCAATCTTAGACATTTATATTTTCACTGTACATAAATAAAGAATATAAAAACGAAGCAATTTTTATAAGCACCAAGAAATATTTTTCAACTAAACTACGTAATGAGTGTAAATAGCAAGCTTAATTACCAATATTTATAACCTAACTTTTGCCTTCAAAGCCTAAAAAGCATTTATAACGAGCTTATTTTGCTTAGAAATATAACCAATATCATTGCAGTTTTTTTTACTAAGGACGATAGGTACCTACTTAATAAACGTCTAACTTTGGGGAAATATTTTCCCTTTTTGATTTGCTTTTGGTTGTTGCAATCTGAAAAGGGATGAAAGTATTATCTTTAAAAGTGATTTATAAGGGCGTATCAATACGCATAGTCCTGAGACAAATTCGTTTTTATGTGGGCATATATACAGTAAAAACTTTTTTGAAAAACAGCTGTTTTGTACCAGAAAACTAAAATTAATTCCTTCTATTGGGACCCGTCAAATGGGAGGAGCCTAAAACATGGCGCCGATTAGGGAAAATTTATCGTAGTTCCTATAGTGTACCGTGCAATTGCCAAGTTTTTAAATTACGATAAAATGATAAGTATTGACACAATATGTGATTGGGCTGACACAAAGCCTCGGAAAGGAAATTTCGTTGAAGGTGAGCGTGTTTTTAATGCCAATCACATTATAAAATTCGGAAATAACAAATCCGGAAGCTAGCCTTCAAATTCCGTCAAGTTTACTGCCTACTTTTTACAAACTTCGGATTTAAAAAGTGATTCACGTTATATAATTGGTGAGGTGATTCTGGGTGATTTAAGCAATATCATATCAATGACTTGCACGTGCAAAGCCGATTTAAGAGAACGTTGCAAACACATTATTGCAACTTTGTTGTATTGCAGCAGGTAGGTTCTTAACCTCAAAATACTTATATCGTATCATTAGAATTGTGTTAAATCAATTACACAGGAATAAATAATTTCTCACTTTATAATTTTAGTATGATTCTAGTTTTAAATATTAAGGTTATGGCTGATGGTAAATACTTGCTGAAATATAATCATGTGCATTAAAATGACGTGAACAAATTTTTATTCCGGAATTCACTTCTTTGATACCTACTGCTTTCATCCAAGCTTCTATTAGTTTACTTTTTTCTCTAATTTTCCGAATATATTTTTTACATATATAAAACGGTTAGTTTTTATTGGAAAGTAGTTAATGTAGGTGAAGAGTGAAGATCTATGTCTGAAGTGCTATTGCAGCTTTTCACTGAACATATTAACTTTTTATTTGATTTAACTTTAGAAGAAAACTTCGTCGACTCCATCATCAAAAAAATTTTTACTTTTTTAACGTGTTTTATTATTTTAATAAACAATTTTACAATTTGCGTGCACAGTTCCTATGTAAATTTTTCCCTCATTCGAGTTATAAATTTTGCCACCAGATGGTGTATGCCCATTTGACGGATCCCAATATGCGATAATATATTATCAAAAATTAAACCGTTATTATTTAATTATCATAACTTTCTAATACCTGAACGATATTATTTACCTTTTAGGGGCACCATCTTTGGCAGTTTGTAGAAACGAACATTTCTTATTTGGTATATCGGGGCTTTCCAAACCGAACACTTTGTGAAGTAATAAATTCGTAGTACTAAGACTGGGTTTGTTAAGCAAATTTGAGACTAGATCCTCGGCCTTCTTCTGCTTCACAAAAATATCAAATTCATCTTCCCCTTTGAAACACGGCACCTTCAACGTGTTACAGCTGGTTGTGTGGGTCAATTTTGGCCTTTTCTTATTATCGTCAACGTTTCTGTTTCCATCTCTGTACGGCGATTTCTCCTTCCATGCCAACTCAGACGAGATCCTTTTGATATTGCTTTTATACGAAGGATTCTTGAATCTTTGGACTTCTATGACAGCATCGGAGAGTCTTCTTTGCAGGGGTTGTTTGTTGAGTAAACCCGAAGGGGAGATTGAAGGCCTTCTCGAACCACAATTCGATGGTGTTCTCGCCTGGATTTCCTGATTCAATTCGTTTTCGGTGATCTTCTTCCGCCAGTAATTTTGGAATGTCTTCCGAAGGACCTTGTTCCTGACGCCGTACAAGAATCCGTTGACGAAGGGCGAGCAAATGAGAAGCGACGACGCGAAGGTCATAAGTCGTGGGTTGTTGTGGGTGGATCCTGGACTGACTTCAAGGATACCATTTGAAGCGTTCCAAAGGATGACGATGTAGTAAGGGAGGTACAGGATGGCAAAGGAAACAAGCAATTGAAGAACTGTCGTTATGGCACTGTGACCGCGAATTTTTGGACCACCCGATGCAGAAGCACTCAGAGTGGGGATGAAGAACGGGTTCCGCTGATGCGTTATTGTTACCTGGGCCGAAAGAGTTACTTCGTATATGGCTGATGCTATTCGGTGACGATGGTATCGAGCAATGGTCAAAATCTGGAACAAAATGTAGCTTAAAATGATTCGAAGTGGTCTGTATTCTGTCGAAACTGCCAGACGCGGATCGCGATTTCGATCTTTTTGGATCTCATCAGCGCGTCGCAGGCAACTCCGACAGAACCCAGACCAACTTTTACCTGCTGTCTTAACAGTGCGTTTTAGAAAATACTACAAATGGCGCAGTAAACGCCATCTGTAGCACGATGCTACATTTTAGGATTACGTATNATTTCAGAAAACAGAGGACGTCTATCGATTTGCTATTTAGTCGTGTCCTTCGTTTATTCACAAAATTCCCCGAAATAGAAAATACCCTCTCACTTGCGACCGAACTAGGCTTAATCGTTTTTAAAGCCTGATATAATAATTCTAATTTTTTTGACCTTTTATTTGTGGCTTCCAGGGCCAAAAACTCTTTTCTTACAGTTTGAGTAGAGGAAGTCACTTCTTCCGGTTCCTTTAAATAAAAACTATCAAACTGATATAAAATCTAAATTAATTCATCCAATAGACAAAACACACCGTTTATATCGGTCCGATATGATTCCAAGAACCAAACCGCTTGCAACAGTGTTTTCATCAATCTGGTACATTTGGCTACATTTGTCATTTTCAAATTTTTTTAAGTGTTATTCATACATTGAAAACCGATATTTTCTACTAAAAAACCGGTTTTCGAATTTCATAATTTTCTCCAAAAAGCCGGTTTTTAAAACCCTACTGACGACCTTGTGGTGAACTAATATTATAAATGCAAATGGCTTTTCACGCCTTAAATAGTTAACCGATAGTCATGAAATTTTGTAGACACATTGTCAGGGACACGGAAAAGCACATAAGGTACCTTTTATCCAGAAAAAAAATACTGTTCCCGAGGGATAGAAAAATTAGTTTTATGTGGTCGATTTCACGTCTAAACTACTCGATCATCATGAAATTTTTGTAGACACATTGTCCGATGTACAAAAAAGAACACAAGGTAGCTTTTATCCAGAAAAAAGTACTGTTCCCGAGGGATATAAAAATTAATTTTATGCGGTCGTCAATGATCTTCGACATGTATTTAGGACATCCACGCGAGCGAAGCCATTGGTAAGATTTAGTTCGTTTATGTTTGTATTATTCGTCAATTAATCCATTTGGGCTTCCAATTGTTGTTCCCTTTCCCTTTTGTTACATGACGCGAAATGAAATCGAATTTTTGGCGGCTATTAAAATCTGGAATCCGGCGATCGATTTTCATTTGTTATATTTCCATTTCCAGCGTTCGCTGAATGAATAAAAGTTTGGGCGAGACGCAGATGTGCGTATTTTTTGACGTAAAATTGGACGCTATTTAATTTCTAAATGAAAAGAAAGGAAGGAAAAGAAATGTCAGCATCATTCTAATTTACGACCGGAGATTCTATGTATTCTCATTATAGCACATCTGAAGAAAGAAAAGAAAACATGTGGAAATATGCCATAGGGAAATTACCAAGACATAATATGTAGGTAATCGTGGTGAAAAAATTTGATAAACGATTTCTAAAATAAAAAAAACGTTTAAAAAACATCGTCATCCATCTTTTTTTCCTCTCATATTGAAAATTAACGAAATCTTACAATAAGCATGTTTATTTTAAAAATTCTTTTTTATTTTTCATAATACGTCTGTCGTTATTAAAATAAGTGTCATTACTCAACTCCATGTGAAGTTTTAAGAAAGAACTTAATTTGAAGTTTTTTGATCCGACGTAAAACAACCAAGTAATCAACAATTTAAGTTGTCCAATCAGAGCATGCCCTTTTTGCTACAAACAGAAGTAACACATCCGACGCTAACAATTGAAACATTGAGTACTTCTGCTTGCAGTAGCGAATTAAAGCACGCCCAGATTCGTCGATTGTTTTAATGTTCAATTGTTAGGTAATTGTTCAACAACAATTAACATCTAAACTACGCCACTCCTACTTCTATTTGCACGAATTGATTCGTCAATTGTTTTCATTCTTGATTTAGTTTCCGTTACTGGAAGATGATGCTAAATTTTTGGAAAAAGTGGATTGTATCTTACCTTAAGGTTACAACACGTTATTAGAGTCGCTGGTAACAGAAGGGTGAGGGCAGTATAAAATGTCGAATACCACAGTGCACCAACCCCTTGAGAGAAGTGCGGCATGCAAGTCCCCAACTCTTTTATATATTGATAAGGGGCTACTTCAAAAAATGGCGGAATGCATACTGCTAAAGACAGTAGCCAGCTGCCCCCTAAGCCGATTAGAACCTGAAACAAATTAATAACGTTATGCTCACTTTTGAATAAAATAGTAGAAGTCGAATTAAACAATTAAAATAAAGTAAAAATGCATAATCAAATTTACTTTTATTTATTTAAGGATGTTTGGGAAGTACAATCGGAGACAAGAGTACATAAAATTAGAAATTCGTGATTAATTAGGTTTTGCAGCATATCATGAGGTAAATAAATACTATCTACTTATATTAAAAAAAAAAGTATACGGTTTGAAAGAAAATTTGGAATTTGACCAAAAACATTGAATAAAATAAGAAATAACGAATTATATGGAAAAATTTTAACTGACTTTTGGCAGTGAATATGCCTTGATTTCAACTTCGAAACAAAAAAATATTTAGTTTCAATCTCTATTAATAATGAGCGTAAAACTTTTTAATATGTTTAAATAATAATTAAAACTTTAAAATTGCATTTATTTCAGACAATTATAAATATTATCATTATATTATCAAGTA